AATTGTTTTTTATGGCAGAGTAGTAATCCATGGTGTATATATACCACAGCTTCCTTATCCAATCATCCATTGATGGACATTTAGGTTGGTTCCATATCTTGGCTATTGTAAACAGAGCTGCGAAGAATATGGGGGTGCAGGTATCTCTTTGACATGATGAATTCCATTCGTCTGGACATATACCCGGAAGTGAGATTGCTGGATCATACAGAAGATCTATCTGTAGTTGTTTGAGAAACCTCCATATTGTTTTCCACAGTGGTTGTACTAATTTACAGTCCCACCAATGAATGGGGGGGAAGGGAGATTGGAAGATAATTGGGTGGGGACAAGGGGTACAAGGGTAATTTCTGGTGGTGGGTGTGCCCCCAGTGTGAATCTGGCCCTCAGATCACGGGCAGGAGGGGTGACATTAGCTTTGTATCTCATGAATATTCTCAATAAATAAATAGATAGATAGATAGATAGATATAAAATAAATAAGCAAGCAAATAAATAAATTACAAATCAAGCCTGGTCACTTCTGTTTAATTCACTTTTAAGAGTTCTTGCTGCCTACAAGATCGAATTCCACTGCTGCCCATGATTCCGCTCTCACATGTCCTTCTCCGGGAAGCTTTCTCTAACCACTTCCTCCAGGAACTTCCCTCTGTGTATCCACAATGCCTACATTTCTTTATTAAACACTCCTTTTTATGTCACAATACTCACTCGATGTGTTTCACTGCCACTAGACTATGAGATTTTTGAGGACCCAAATTGCATGACTTGTATTTATGGTGCCTAAAATAGTTCTTGAGATATGAGGGTACTTCAAAGACTTCATGCAAAGATTTGTATTATCTTTTAATTCTATTTTTCCACAAATTTTTTGAAGTACCCTTGTATATCAAGTATTAAGAAATATTTTGGATGAATGGAAGATGAATGTAAGATAAAATAACTGAAGGGGCTTTATAGAGGAGGTTGCACTGAAATAGGTTACGAGGGAAGAAATATTTTTAATACATAAAGAGAGGAGGTAAAGCCTTCCAGAAAAGGGGTTCTGTAAAGGAATGTGGGGGTTCAGATTCAAAGGCGTGAATGGACAAGGGAATTTGCTGAAAGCAGGTGAGACAGTATCACAGCAGAATTCATCTGAGAATGTTTCTTCTTAAATTTTCTGTACTTTGGTAATTTCCTTTTATTTCTGTCCTCTTCATGTCTGTATAAAACTTCTTTACGTTTATTTAAATATTTTTATTTCTCTAAAGGCAAGAACCCACAGAGTCTGAGAGTGCACAAGAGCTAATTCAGCATTTTAAATATAGACATGTCCAAACATTTTCTTTTTGTCAGTTTGTGCTCTTCTTCCCCAGTCCCTTCCTCTCACGGATCTACACTGGCAGAAAAAAATATAAAGTAATAAAGCAACCCACTTTCTTTTGAAATGCCTGGTAAGATGTTCTGAACATTTTAGGTGATTCCATAGCTCCACAGTCTCTTGTGAAATAGATGTTTGGTTGTATTAAAGGTTGGCATTTTCTATTCTCACATCTTAAAAAATTATTTTATCTTTCAAGATTATAATTACACATTAGGTTAATGAAGTAAATGTACATAAATTTATTTTTTGTACATAAATAAATGTTCAAAAATTATCTTATTCTATTTTAAGTTTCCCCTATTTTCCATTGCTTTTCTGGTTTCAAGGTGCCTTAAAACTAGAAAAGATTGTAGACATAATTGCAAGATTTTATTTATTTACGTATTATTTAAGCCAGAGCTTGCACCAGTGGCCCTAGAACTGCTTCTCCATAATCAGCCGTCTCTCCTGCACCCTCAACCTCTTCTCCAGATGCTTCTTGCCTTAACAGAAACATGGCTGTCCCCTGAAAATATCACCATCCGTAAGTCCTCATGTACCTTGAGGCCACTTTTCTTCCTGACCACTCCTCTCTCACTTCCCTATTCAAAACCCTGTTCCTTTGAGGCTTGTTCCAGTCAGGTGTATTCCACTGTCCCCACTCCCCCCCACCCCCCGCCATCATCGTCACTTTATTTATTAAATTTCAGTTGGTTTCCTCTTTGACCAGGGTTGTTAACACTTCACAGCCGTTCTCCTCCCTCTGAGCCCAGCCCTTCCATTATCCTGGGACATGATCACAGTCTCCAAGTTCCTGTATTTCCTCCTACTTAATGACTGTCTCCTCCACTCTAGCTTTCATTCTCATGGTTACAACCGGATGTCCAAGTGTAACTATTCTATTCTCTAAGCACTAAAGCAAACATCTCAGTCACCCCTCTTTCCAATTTACTTTGCCAAGGGTTCTTTAAACTCACCAAGATCTCTAGTCTGTTGACCCTTTTTCTGTCTTTTTTTTTTCTTTCTTCCCTTTTGATCCATCTTACATTTCATGGTGTACATTTAAATCACTAGTTTAGTTGTCGTGATGGTAACCTAAATTCCCTTTTACCTGTACCCTCCCTCACCTTAGTCCACCCTGCAACATACATTTTCTTTTTTATTTTTTCCTCACAAACCTCCTGGGTAGCTATTCACTTTCTCATTGGCTGGACTAGAACTGTGGAAAATCTTCAGACTAAGTCACTCAGCAGGGTATATTGGTTGCCCTGGAAATTTAATATTACCAACCTTGAATGGGCCCTCAGTGCTGCACAGCTAGAAATATCGTTGTCTGGTCATCTCACTTCCCCATTCCCCACAACAATGAAATTAGACTTTTTTCGTTTTCTTTAAACACTCCTCTTACTTCCATCAGAATTTGCATCCTAATAGAGAAAGAAGATGGCTTCAGACTGGAATGTTGTCTTCAAGTTTTCAAGCATACGAATCATCTATATCTGCACTAATTTCACCTTCCTTCTCCTCAGTGACAACTATCTTCTCTCTGTTCTTCTGCCTTTGGGTTGTATTTCTATCCATGCTTTGGGTACATCCTCTTAGGAATTTTACATCCTTGATTGCTGCTTTTCTGTCTATGCAATCAACCTCTTCATCTCACTGATTCTTTACAGTTGGCTTTTCAACACATGCAAGTCTCTCCCTTTAAAACAAAACTAAGCACATATCTCTCAAGTTACTGCTCTATCTCTCCCTCCCACTTTAAAGCTAAAGTATTCATGGAGTTATCTGAACACTCCCCATCTCCCAGTCCTTCCCTCACTTCAGTTTGCCCTCCAGCATTTTTACTTCCACCAAAACAATTTTGCTCAATGGTTTATAACCATGTTGCTCAACTGAAGATATATATTTATGTTCTCATGTAATTTACACTCTCAATAAGAATTCAATGTTGTTCCTCCTTCTTGTCTGCTTTTTCTCTTCTGCCATAACACTTAATGTTTGCATTTTTCAGTTCAATGTTGGCTTGATTCTTTATCGAGTTGGACTCACTCTATCACACTCTATATACTCTCCTGCTATGCAAGTTCATCCAAACCTATTGCTCCAATTACCACTAAAAGACACATGACTCATAAACTACTCGTTCAGTTTGGACCTTTCCGCTAAAAGCCAGGGCTACGCATCCAACTGCCTTTTGGTACCCAACTTATGATCTGTCTTTTTTCCCAAACCAGACTTCTTCAGATGTTTTGTTGCCAGTTAATGTACCACAATTCATTTAGTTGGTTGTTCCAGAAAGAAAAACAGAATTTTCTCTTATCCTCACCCACCTCTGTCAAAGCTCAGCTTCAATCCATTACCGAGCTTTGTCAGTTTTACATCCTAAGTAGCTTTCTCCCTTCTGTCCATCTCCAGCAATACCCTTTGTCCAAGATTGTCATTACTTGCCTGGAGTACTGCCACACTGAAGATTCTAGTTGGTCGAACCATGCATATGTGACCTTCTGTCAATCTAGCCTACTGAAGAGTAGTGGCTCTCTACCAGGGGTAACTTGGCTCCCTATGAGAGATTTGGCAATGTCTCAACACATTTTTTATTGCAACAACTGGGGAGTTGGGGACAGGTGTTGCTGACATCTAGTGTGTAGAGACCAGGAATGCTGCCATACAACCTGCAGTGAATGGAATAAGCTCCCACAACAAAGAATGATCTGGTCCAAAATGTCAACAGTGCCAAAGTTGAGAAGCCCTGCTCTAGAGGTAGACTGAGTTTTTCACACTGCAGGCCTGATTCTGTCATGTGTGCACATGCACACATACACACACACACACACAACACTTAAGAACCTTCAGTTATACAGGAGGCTATATTTGCTAAACAAATTTAAAAATCTAAGACTTATTAGTAGCTGTTAATATATATTCAACATAAAAATATTTAGTCTGATTGACTTGGTTTGTTTTATTTGATTATGTTACTCAGTCAATGAAATAAGGAACACTGGACTCCCTATATTTGAAGTATCCTTTATACTTCTTCTCTGGGAATCTTTTATCTCTTCTCTTCTGAATTACTATCTCATAGAAGTAATTTCATACTGTTTATGAACTGACAAACTACTCATTGTATGGTGGCTGAATGGGTTTGTAATTTGGGAGCCCTATAATTGCTAAGATTACCACTATAGAACAAGTAAGACATTTTAAAAAATTAATTTCTTTCTGTCTTTAGCATGCAATGTTTATATATTGCTATTTTTTCAAAGTCCCTCACCGACATTTCTCAGGCCTAGAAATATGCATCTATTAACATATATAATTTTGTACCATGACCCTCATTTCCACTTTCTCTCTTTTATGAGGGTAAACCCTCCCCTCCACACACACACACACACACACACACACACACACACACATGAAAGAAAAGCTAATTTAGAAGTGGAACCAGTGGCAGAAAAGTAAACTAAAAGCCAGATATGTGTTTGCAGTTCTAGGCAAAGTTATCAAATTTTACCCTAAGCATATTGGAAAACATTACTCATGATAGAAACCTCCTCTCTCTCTCTCTCACTCCTGCCTTCAAACCCCCAGAAAACCACATCTGTTTTCCACTGATAGCTTTTAACACACATCTCTTTAATGTTTCTAACAGGAAGTGGAAATTGAGCAAAATTTGTGTTCGCCAACATTTAAGAGTTATCCTGGGAGCCAGTCAGATGATTCTGTGAAAGATTCAGACAAGAAAGGCGAGGAAACCTCTTTTGACAAGATGTTACCTGAAAGCGGTCATAGCCACATCTTTGAAGGTTAGCATAACATTTTGATATGATTACTTGAGATCAAAACTTGTACAACATGAGTAGTTAATAAATAAAATATATGAGGGGTTTATTTAAAAATTAGTAAGGAAAATGATGAAAGCATATAGTTAAGTAAACATAATTCAGAAAAAATAGAGGCATATGCAAAAGCTTCTGCCTCTATTATATTTGACTTTGATTTTAAAAACTAAATTAAATATATTTTAACTGACTATAAACAAGTACAACCATGACTGTAATGCAGTACAATGAGTATGTTCAGTATTAGGCTTTTGAAACAATGCACTTTACCATCATCTCACTTTTCCTTTTGTGGGGGGGAAAAAACCATATTTGTCTTTTTTGTCTTTCTGTCTGTGGGTAATAAAAGGATAAAATATGAGTAACCGTCAGTGGCAAAATAAAAAACATGCCTTCAGCGTTTCTTTTCAGACGATTAAACTAAAAGTGTTTAATGAATTTGGAATAAAAAGTGACATGAGACTGTCTGTCATATTTTAGGGAGAAACCTCATAAATTTGATTAATGTTTTACAAATGTCATTAAAAAGTTAATAGCTCATATGTTAGAAATTGCACTACTAATATAATTTTCAACAATGAGAGAAGTGAAAAATAGGAATAATTCATTGGAAAGCACAGATATTATTTATCATTTCAGATTCGGCATATTCTGGATTTTTCCATTTTAGACAAGTAATGCTTATTGTAGTATTTGTGATATTTGCTAAAGATCATAGTTAGTACAACTTTTAGGATGTCATTTGGAATATATACAGCAAACTGTGTAGTTGCCAGTCAACACAAGCAATGTGAAATAGTCTGTGGAATATTACACTCACAGTTTGGGAAAGCAAATGATACTCTGCTTTAAAACTTTGCTATCCAGGGCCGGCCCCGTGGAGCACTTGGGAGAGTGCGGCACTTGGGAGTGAAGCGGTGCTCCCGCTGTGGGTTCAGATCCTATGTAGGGATGGCCGGTGCGCTCACTGGCTGAGCGCGGTGTGGGCGACACCAAGCCAAGGGTTGCGATCCCCTTACTGGTCACAAAAAAGACAAAAAAAAAAACTTTGCTATCCAAAGTGTTGTTTGTGAATCAGAACATCATCATCATCTGGAGGCTTATTAGAAATGCAGAACCTTGAGCCCCACACAGTCCTACTATATCAAAATCTGCATTTTAACAAGATCCTCACATGATTCATGTGCACATTAAAGTTTGAGAAGCTATATTCTATGACAGTACAGACTGATCTTAAGGGTAAGTTACACACAGTTCAGCCCATTTTTATTCCATTTGTTTCAACATGTAATTTGGAGTGAGAGGCAGGTATGGGGTGAGTAAAGAGGAGTTTGCTAATGATGAACTGGGGATGGATTTCTAAATACATGTAAATTGAGATCTCAATCTCTATTTTTCATTTTCAATTTATTTTGGTATGCCCAATTGATATTCTAATATGAGTAGTATCAGTCTTGAAGAACTTACTTCACATATTTCTGACTCGTGATTAAACTTTATGTGGACTTGGCTGAATGTAAAAGAATCAGATTAGCAGAAGCCAAAAAAGGAAAGCTTTAGGGAATGATATGTGTTCTGACGATACAGGCCTGCGGAGATCTTAGCATAGGGAAGTAAAAATGAGGTTTGCAAACTGACCCAAGTTATGTGTGATGATTAACTCCACTATTTACATTCTACTTCTTCTCATTTGTGTTTTCTTTTGTTTCTGTGCAAAGGTTTTAAAAAGCTTTTTATTTTATGAACTTAGAGAAGATACTCTAGACAATAACCATTATTTGGTATCAAGATATGACTTAAATTTGAGAGTGACGTTGGATTTACTTTTCGAGGAACACTGAAAATATGAACAGCTAAACTTAAAAACACAGGATGGGAAAATTGCACTAAGTATGAACATAACAGCTAATTTTATTTTTTATTTAATCTGTGCTTTGCACAAGAACTCTAATTCCTATGCATCACTACTATTAAAAGAAAGAAAATTCTTTCATTATGGGTTCTTTTTAATTCTTCCACGGTGCCCAAAATTTCTCTCTCTACTGGGGCAATTATAAACTATTTTAATATTTAACTAAGTTAACTTGAACAGGCTGTATATAATAAGCTTGACAACACCTGTACAATCAAAGGGTATTTTGATACTGCTGTTTTGCTACAAAGATTCACTTTATTCCAAGAAGATGAACACATACATCTGAATAAAGTGTGATAACTGAAAGACTTCATAGTTAATACAATTATATGTGTGACTATTATGGTCCCATACCAGTTAAACATCTTATGTAGCCACAAGAGTTTCATACTTGAGTGTTTATTATAGTTCTTTCATAAACAGTAGATTTTGAAAATTACACTTACAATTGATTATTAAAATGCAGCTACTTAATATCCTGCATTTTTAGAATTTACTAAACAATGTGAATTCACAACTCCATCTTAAGTCTCAGGACTAGCAGTGCCTGTTGAGTTAGTTCCAGCCCTTTATCCTCAACTGCAAGTCCAGGGCAACACAGAAAGGCACTGTGATTCCCACCAGTCTTCCTTTCTACGCTTGGTGATCCACTCCCAGGTTCCCACGTGATTTCATTGCTCTCATCCCTGCTATTTTGTTTGCTCCACTTTCCTCACTTATGTATTGGTGAAATTAACGCATACCTCTTCAGCATGCATGTTGGTGCAATCCATCTACATTTTCCTTGCACATACTCTAATGGTTAGTTGTTGCAATGATTCTAAGAAGACTTGGCTCATGCTAAATTAAATGTTAAACATGGGAAATCCATAATTTGACAAATTTGGGCGGTATAATAGATATGAGAGAAAAAACAAAGCACTCAATATAAGTGATTTTGACTAATTGTTTTTACTTTAGTAATATAAAAATCTGATTTGCAGGATTTCCTTTAGATATTTTAAAACCATAAGCTGGAAAGTGAATGGTGTGAGTCTTACATATTGATGTCCAATCTACAGGTATATAGAGTAAAAATTTATACTTGCTGAAAAACTCTAGATCAAGGGATGCTTCAAATAGCCCAGATGATTGGGTAGTGTTCATGTAGTTTGTATGACTTGGGATTTTTTTTTAATGTGACAATTGCCTGCTCTTCACTTTTATTCTTTAAACCATAATTTTAATTTTAATCTTCTAAGTCATCAACATGTAAAATGCTAACAGATAAAATATATATTCAAAGTCACTCTTTCAAGTCTTTTGTAATAAAACATGGAAATTACCTGCTGTATTTCTTTTTATTCTATACCATTAAAGCTAAATTCATTCTTCATGCTTATAATGGCCATTCATCTTCTGTGACAGATTTTACCAAACAAACCGAGGGTTCTGTTCTTTTCTATTTTTTACTACTTTTTAAGTAGTGGGATCCTTCCAGTTATTAATGTTTCTAAAATATTGAAGGATGTGAAGTATACGTATTTGTGTAAGTGATTGTTACTGACATATCTTGTTTTTGTTTAAAATCAGACATTTTAGAGTTATGCTCTTTAAAAGAAATTTCTGTGATAATAAAAGAAGTGTTCTGTATCTTTGCTAGTAAGTAACCAGTAACTACATGTTGCTATTAAGAATTGAAAAGCAGCTAGTGTAACTAACTGCCCAACTTAATCATTAATTTCACTGAATTTTAATTAATGAATATGTAAATAGTCACCATCTTGGACAGTACAGTTTTAGAAATAATATTTCTTCAAAGAATTCATTATCCACTCTTCTTATAGGAAATGATCCAAATATTAGGTATTCATTTTAAGTTATTCATTATCTTTATTAAAATATATGTGGATAAGTGGAAAGAAAATACATGTCAGCAAAATAGACAAACAAATAAGTAGTAATAATCCACATATTAGGATATTGCCTTCAGGAGCTAGTGACAATCTCTTCTCTCTATGGTATTTTCTAGTGATAAAATAATTTCACCCACGTTGCCTTTTCAACATGATGAAAAACAATGATTTTATCAGGAAATATCTACAGTGAGGCTTTGCATTTTTCCATAACATCTTTTCTAGAGCTTAATTGTCTTGGGAATATGCATCCTCTCAGATCAAGAAGCAAAACATTCTCTAAATATCTAAGGTCAACAAAGTTAAGAGAAATGAAGTAACAGGATACTTTAAAATTAACAGCACCATTCCTTTAATAATAATTTTAAAAGGTCTTCATTTGAAAACCTATAAATAAATCAGACGTTTAGTCACAGAGCAGCCCCAGCAAAGACCATTGGCACCATTTATTCTGCTCCGACCGATTTGTTCCCTCTAAAGAGACTCAGAGGACAAGCTTTCAGACCTAGTCTCTGGACACACCATGATGGAGCCAAGACTCCCAACACTGGCTTCTGCTTTCAGACATGTTTCCTTACCCACCCATACTTTATTTTAAGCCCCAATCAATCTTCTGAAAAGAGCCATGTTATTTTAATTCACATAGGAGATGTTTTATTGGGAAGAATACTGTCAGTTGATCACCATTCAGAATAATCCTGTGGTGATGCCCTGTGCAAAGAAGAGAAGCCATTTTTTATATCAGTAATCACGTCTAATAGATCTGTTTACCCAGTTAAAGAATTTTTTCTCTTTCTTCAAGTGGGGTTCACCTGAAATTTTTCAATGACTCCCACATGTTCCTTTTAATAGCTATTATAGTCACTGACTCAAAACAAATTCCAGAGTTAAATCATGGTCCCAGTAGCTGGGAGTTTGCTATTCTGAGGAATACGTAATGAAAGGTCTATTCACGAGGTCGTTCACATGGTAACTATAAATCAGCACCTTGGAATCCTGGAAAATTTCCATTGATTAACAATCAAAATCCCAGGAACTCATTTTGAGTTTGAGTATGGTCATACTTAATTTTAAAACATTATGCCATCAAAGAAAAAGAACAACAAATAGAAATATTTCTCTTTAAAAGCATTCATTCATTTTACCCCCTTGAA